TGATAATGATTTTTTTCAATAAATTGATGTATGTAGCCGTTACTACGTGAAAGGAAATCATAATGAAGAAAAATGAAATTGAACTTCCTTAGTATCTTACCACTTTTATTTGTAACTAACGTTACTGCAGTTTCGTCCTATAAGGACAATTTCAAATATATACATTGAGTTTAATGTATAAGTTTGAAAATGTCCATGTAGGACAAAACTGCAGTAACGTTAGTTACAAATAAAAGTGGTAATAAACATAGAAAGTCATATCTCTTTTCTTCATAATCGTTTTGTGGAACTGCTATATCGGTATTTCAGAAATTCATATTTTTTCATAAACTCATCGTATCCAGCTTACTGCTAAAGCTTCAATACAATATATTGATATAGTTGATTCCACTTGGTTCATATTCTTATATATGGAAAATGCTAGCTGGATGCTATTTAACATTTGAACTAGATCATCTCTTGGTAAATGTACCAACTCATTGGTATATCCTTGAAGGGGTCATCTTACATAAAACTTCGCATATTGAATCTGAATACGATCATTCCTCAAAGCTTTAGGTGAATCTTCAATCAAGATTACAAAAAACTCATATACTTGAGATGTATCTTAATGAGTTGTGAGGTCCACACAAACACTTTTCTGACACATCAAACCAATTCTGTTGTGGAAACTAAACTTAAAAGGAGTATATTCGTTGAATTTTCACTTGTATCGCGTCTTGAAAAATGTGAAATGTTCGCGTTACTTTTGGAAAGTAGCCCTTTAGTAATTTTACAATATTACCCGTTATTTCTCTTAGCAGCATGGTTACACTGTTCAATTGAAAAACATAGAATGTACAAAAGGCACACAATTTCCATTATCAGTTTTCGTAACGAGAAATATAAATTCAATACAGTTTTCAACAGCATTCGAGTGAGTTCAAACAATAATGTTTGTTCTCGTAAAGAACATAATTTAATTCGGTGCTCAATTTTGGCGTTGCTTCGAGAGAGTTTTGTCTAGTTAGTAGGAGATATTGAATAACGCGTAATCTGCTTCAATCTGATTAATATAGATATCTAGATAAAGCTGGATTTGATCCATGAAAAGTTGAAAATCACTTTTCAATTTAGGGTATCAGACATGTTTCTAACATTGAATAAGTAAAACGCGATATCCTACCCTGTCCCGAGCCGAGAAATGAATACATGTTCTTTCTAAATGAGAAGCGCTAATGTTGAAGTAATAATTAATAGTATCGAACGGATACGTTTTTTCTCTTCAGTTGGATACTTCAACTTTTTCATATTACCTTCAATTCGCCCCTTCTCTTATCATTCGATCTGCAGCAGACATCATAATCACATTGCAGTAGAAGACGAAAAGTTTGGTACTACATAGGCTGAAAAGTCTCATAGATGTCACTAGTCTCATTTCATTCACCGCTTTTTCAGTCAGCACTAACGAAAGCTGTTGAAATTTCATGATATTCTACTCATACGTGTGTGAGTTATTGTGCTACGGGTTTAAAGGGTAGGGGAGCAAGGCTCCAACCTGGAAGAAACCAAGATGACGTGCAGGAAGAGTGATAGGTTAGGTTAGGTTAGGTCCAAAGTGAGAGGGTCTATTCGACCCTCCACCGCGCCTCGCAAGGGTTTACTGTGGCTCACACATATTCACACTCGACAAAATAAACCCAGCTTCTTAACGAAGCCGATTAGTTTGTATGGTAATTGGTCTTTCAAGTCAGATGTAGAGAGTACGGCTCTGCCCAACTTTAAAAACCTGAATAATAAAACTACGCACGATGTTATTTTCTCATTTCTGAGTAAAGTATATTCTGAGATAAATGTCGGTGAAAAGACTGCCGCAGTATTTTGTGACCTGTCAAAGGCATTCGACTGCGTTGATCACAAAATACAGCTGAGAAAGCTCCAACGTTATGAATGCAGAGGAGTAATTTACAAATGGTTCGATTTCTACTCAATGGGACGGACGCAAATGGTCAAAACAACTCAACTTTCAAAAAAAAAGGGAAATTAATTCTGGAGTTCCACAAGGTTCTGTGTTAGGTCCTATTATTTTCTTATTATAAGTTAATGACCCCACCAAGCTTAATATTTCTAGAAAATTCACCTTATTTGCAGATGACACTACCATACTTTGGAATAATAAAAACACTTGTGAGTTGCACAAAATAATCTCTGCCGACTTGAAAAAAGTTAAAGATTGGTGTGATTCAAACATTTTATCTTTTAACTTAACTAAAACAAATTTATTATCATTTAAANAAGTGCTGCTTCATCAAGTTTCTGGCGAATGTGGTATATGCTCCCGCATATACCATATTCCTCAGATTTGGCCGCCAGTTACTACTGACTGTTCGCAGACCTCAAAGAAATGATAACCGGTGAAGAATTTCGCCCGAATGAAGATGTTATTGCTGAAACTGAGGCCTATTTTGAGGCAAAGGATAAATCGTTCTACAAAAGTGTTATTGATATGTTGGAGCGGTGCTGGTATGATTGTGTGGCTCTTGATAGAGATTACCTCAAAAAGTTGAGCCAATTTTGAACAAAGAAAACGCGATTCCTTCCTTAGGCCCAGGAATTTTCATGTTTTATTCGACCATGGCCTTTCAGCCCGAATTTTCTCTTCAAGACTCTGTCCCTGAGAGTCTATGTTATCATTTCATTCAAAAGTTCATGTACAAAATGATGTGTAACATACAGTATCATTTCAACATTCAGTCATAGAACAACTCTTCCAGTGTTCATTCATTTCTTTGTCACTGTTAAAAAGACAGTTTTCATTGAAATTGAAAGTGTGAAAGGGTGATATGCGCAGGGTGATATGCGGTCACGAACGATCCCCTTGGAGTACTGGGCGAAACCTCATTGTAATCAGCCTACCTTTGGTAACGAGGAGCTCTGCCAGAGGTGACCAACTCTTTCCTTGCTACTCGTAGGAACACACATGAATGAAACAAACACAAAACAGAATCAACAATAACAAAAACCAATCCCGAGGCCAATCCCAACAGAAGTGCTCACCTCAATCTAAGGTGATGGCTGAGGATGAACAGAAATGTCCACCCCAACCTACCGTTTGGAATGAAGCTGGACATAGCTGATTACCTCGTGATGTAATACAGAAGATAAGGCGTAAGCGCATTTGCAGCGCCGAGGCCAAAAGGAGATAGAAGCCGAAAGAGGCAAGAGCTTCGCCTTGAATAAAGGCAAGGAACCGGCTGCCCCTGCAGGAAAGCTCCCTCACTTGTGCACCTCCACGGAGGGAACCCCAAGAAGGTTGAAGAAGCCGCGCAACGACAGTAATGTCGCTGCACCTTCCAAAACCTGCTTGGAGGCCACCGTGAGACACCTTAAGGTTGCCAAAGAGAGTGTGTGTTCGGCGAGTCTTGGCCTACACCTGCCAATATAAAGGAGATGTCTCCTAGTCACCTGTTCACCTTCCTGAAAAGAACAGGATGGACGATGACCTAGGAGGACAACTTCTCGGGAGGATGTACAATGGGTCACATGTGGCCTAAGTGCTGTGGGTTTACACTCACCCTCCCTACTCTACAGATATCAGAGAGATACATTGATATTACATAAATTTAACTTTTTTTCGAATGAATCAGTTGCATAGATCAAACTTGGAATCCAAAGAAATCTTGCAACAAATATTATTATTGATGCTGTTATATGTATGCTTATTACTATATAATGTCGATGAATGGTTTTCAACCAATCCTCCTCTACGAATTCAATTCGAATCAAAATGCTGCCGCAACAGCCCAGAAAATCAACCAGGTCCTACAGTAATCCAGGATGAGGATCCTGGTGGAGACTGATGCATCATAAACGTGACAGAAATTGTCACGTTTCGGAGTACGTTCTCCTTTGCTTCTGCACAACCAAAACAATCCTTTTTTGGATTGAATCATCATATGTGATGAAAAAATTCTAAAAAGCTGGTACCTATTCATTTAGAAATATGTGTTTTGCAATATATGAAGTTATTGGAAGTAGAGAACTATATCGGTAGCCGGTCAGTTCGACGTGGGTGCTTTGTTCACTCTCTCAATTCGACTGCCGTGATTTTCACATATTATCGTCTAACCCGTGTTAGGAATCACACGTTGGAAGGTAAGACCTCGTTAGTCCTCAGCTCGCACAAGTTTCGACTTCTGAGGGTTGTCGTTCGTAGAGGTGAGACAGCTGGTTAACGGAAAAACAGATTTTAAACAGATTCAGAGATATAACGTACCTCAATGCAACCGTCTGAAGATGAAAAATTGGAGAGGGATGATTGAATGAATGAAACTCATCTTCCAATTGATCAAAATCTCGTCGTCCATCAAAAATGTATCTAATCCAAACAAGGTGCTCCATCATGGATTTGATATAATACATAACATGAGAATTATTATGGCTGTTTTTCGCAAGAACAATTTCGTAACATCAATCAAAGGCTGTCATCAGATCGAAAAATCCAATTATCAAACGTTCCTAATGGATTACATGTCTTCCCAAAAGGAATGGAAAATATAATTTGGAAAATTTCATTACAGTTTGAGGTTAGACATTTCAAACCAATACCAGATTTGCAAAGTGACTAAACTTGACAGAAATGTCACAACTATACATAAAAACAATAGTAAAAGCAGCAACGGCTGATTTTTTTGCACGACACTGTAGAAAACTTTTCATAAACTACACCTACCGATTTGATCTCCACATACTTCATCAAGTAACGGCGCAATCAATCAGAAAAAAAACTGACATCTATGAGTAAGTATGTTAGTGATGGTTGTCCAAAATCTTCCATTCCACGTTTGTTCCATCTAATTGGTAAAATTTGGTGATAAACACTATTTTCCCTCTTAGGATACCGGAAACACATCCACAGTTCAGATTCTTCTTTCATTTCCTATACGTTCAACGTTCATATATTCCACCACTCGTTAGAAATATTCTACAACCTGATTAATTATTCTGTTTGTTTCAGAATGAGTCTACCATCTGACCGGGGTTGTCTGTTGCCCCGTTAAACCATGCAACGTCTGCGGACCACTTTCAAGCGGTCCCGGACACCAACTGCTTACGAAATGAAAACTCAAAGTAGCCTCGAAGTACCCAAACAAGTGAGATCCGCCTCTTTCGACGAAATTCAACTCGAAGCCAAAAGACTGCAAGCCTCCGGATCAGACTCCAATGCTCTCCTACGAATCCCCCAATTTCCGGGCCAGCGCTCCAGGAGCGTCGACTCTGGGGGGAGCGAAGAGTCCGGAAATTATCTGGAGGTACCCTCGAGGAAGTTCCATCGGAGAAGATCATCGGGCAGCAAGAGCCCCGTGTGCGTACATTGCGCTTGCCTCGAGGAGTACAACAAGGCAAACTCCAGCAGTGAAACTTCAACAGACGCACCAGAGAAAGAACCTGCGGCGAGCTTCAGCATGAGCGAATCTTCAAGCGAGTGTGAGGAAGAAATACTCTCCAACTGTGGCATCAGAGTCACTCTGTCTCCGGAAATACCACCTGAACCCATACAATCTCCTCCACCTGTTCCGATGACTCCTACGCAGTCCAGAAGGAAGTCAATCCATCGACAGGAGGCCTTTTTCGGAGAGCCCTCTGGAGACTCACTGGAAAGCATCCTCACAGACGATCCGTCCGAGGCAAATTCCGATGGTACCTCTGATGGCGCTGTGTCAGAGAAAACTCCGCCTAAAACTACCATTCCGGGTCTAGTGGTCCAGGACATCTACCTGCAGGTTCCCGATTTGAACAGGGGTCGCGCTGCTTCGGTAGATTCGTGCTTCTCTAAAGTTTCGAATGTCAAAACGGAGGAGTTGCAGCATTCCGGAGTGAGTCTGGAGGTACCTGTTGGGCCCAATGTAGCGCTGCGGTCCAGGTCCGTAGATATCGTTCTGCCGACGGATAAGCAGGCTAGATACAAGGCGTTGGCGATGGCCGCTCCTACTTGCAATACCGAGTATAGGTATGTTGGTGTCGCATGTTCGTGTCCGCATGACTGATTTATTTTGAATTGTATTCAGTTAAATAAAGTTGTATTATACATAGCATGATTGTTATTTATTTGCTATTTCTCACTTGAGTTATGATCTTCAATTCATATCGATCCAAATTCACTTTTCTTTGACCCTTCGACAGCTTTTTACATTATTGATCCTGATATTGTTTGCAGTAAACTATACCCAATGGGTTTCAGAGGTATCTTTCCAGTATGACTCAGGTCTTACTTGACTTAAAAAAACCTAGGAGTTCATCAAAGTTTTATTTTGGGGCTCTATTTTTTCAATTCATATTATAACTTTATATTATATAAGTACTGTCTTATATGCGGGTGACACAACTTTTGCAATTGATGCTGGTAGCCCCAAGGAACTTCAAGAAAAGCTAAACGTATTGTCGTTTGATTTTACAAACTTATGCAGGAAAAATTAATCAACAGTAAATTCAAGTAAAACAGCGCTGCATAGATAGCAACATGGCATGACAGTCAAGTATAGTTCAGGTGAATGATAAAATTGGTTCAAAGTAATATGCAATTGTACAATTAAGATCTTTTTCCCGCGGAAAACAAATCCCAAAGAATATTTTGCCCTTGTACGCTGTCTGTTCAAAAAATAATGTGTGTAGGATGGTTATCGTTGTCTAGGGAATATATTGATTAGGCCTCAGATGCAACAAGAATAAAAACGTATATTAACGATAAAAAAATAACAACCGGTTGAACACTGGCACAATTAGAACATAGGTATACGGCACATAAGAACATCAATCAGTTATTATTACAAATTAAATCCAGTACTGAACAAGAAGGTAAAAGGAAAATATGGACTCGACTGTCGATTCGTCACTAACGTTTTAATAGGTTTGCCCTGGTTCCAACATCCGAAACTGTTTGGAAACTGCGTAAGGTATGATGCGTACAAACAAAAAATCTCAAACAGTCCGAAATAGTCTCGGACACTTGGTTAAACCAGAACGCATTTTGAAGAGACCACTGTGTCACCTATCACATATATAAAGACATTAAGACGAGAAAATACTGTTGATCATGTTCATTTTGTTATGTGGCGTATCTTTGTAGTCAGTTCAAATGTTATCTAACCTCAATTATTTGAATCGAATAAATAAAAATTAATACTAGTTAATAGCCCAAATAATTTTCCACATGAATGCGCATGAGCAACGGGAACAGTTCTCAACAGTTTAGCCTCGAGAGCAAGAACGATTCAGGACGGTTCAAGACAGTTTAGGATAATTTCGCAGTCGAAACCAGAACAGAACAGAACGCTCTATATCGACTGCACATGATCCTGACGTTCTAGAACCTGAATGTCGTAGAATCAGAACAAACCTAATGTCTTCGTCCAGTGAATTTTAGCGGCTGACTGCCCTTGTACCTACATTTGCCTGAGTCGTGATTTTTATGATCCATCAATTTCTATTTTGTCCCCTCCAAAGTAGTCTCCTAAAGATATAATACAATCGTGCCAGCGCGTGTATATACAGTGTGACCCATTTAAAATGGAACCACCCCTGTAGAATGTGCATTTTTCAATCAATCCCAATTATATATGGACAGGATGGCTAGG